GGCTTTCTCGCCCTGAGCGCCTCTGTCCCTGGGCGGCTGCAGCGTCGTTGGTCTGCTCATGCTAGCGTTGGTCGCTCGGTCGTGTCTGACCCCATGGACTGTAGCCCTCCAGGCTTCTCTGTCGGTGGGATTCTCTGCAAGAAGGCTGGAGCGGGTTTCATGCCTCCTCCAGGGCACCTTCCTGCACCGGCAGGTGGGCGCTTCACCATTGGGGCCGCCTGCAGAGGCTGCCGCGCGGCTGCGTGCTCCGTTCGCAGCCCTGCAAGCGCAGGCTGGCGCCAGGGCGCGAGCGCCAGAGCTCCTGCAGGGCTGCGCTCCTGGAACCCTCACCTCCAGCCGGAGCGGACGTAGAACTCTGAATCAAAGTGTCCAGAGATAAGAGTGGAGACACAGACCGACGAACCAAACCCAGATGGAGCCAGCGGGGACCGCGATGCTGACAAGTCTGACCTCCAGCAGAGTGCGAGCCTCATTCAGAGCTGGCTTTACTACTTTAGACACTAGATGTCAAACCTACCAGCGGCCGTGGAGGATGCAGACAGAAGGATGAAACGGGGTGGCAGCCTGCTCCCTCGGAAAAGCCCCGATGCCTCCCTGTCGTTAGCATCGCTTCTCCTCTCTACTCCTGAGAATTAAGCCGCCCTTTCTGGGTTGGGTGAGAATTGCTCTGTGAACTCGGTTCCTGCTTTTCTGTTCTTTGGCCACTGAATAAAGCCTGTACTGTGTTGATCTCGACTTTGGTTTTGGCTGCTGCAGCCTGAATGGAAAAGGAACGTCTCCTGCCAAGGCAGGGAGCCGTGGCCTGGCCGGGGCCTGAGCAGGGTCCCCACAAATCAACTCGGCAGCACGTGGAGGACCCTGGCCCAAGTCAGGACCAGACTCGGGGGGAGACGCAGCCTCAGGTGGGTTGGGAGGAGCTAAGACACTGAGCCCGTCCGTGGATGAGGATGAGATAGGCTGAGATTTAGATCCAGACTCAGGAGACATGTTCTCATTCTGGAAAGTGAAAGGGATTCTCCCCCTTGCTCTGCAGGAAAGAAAGAATTCAAAAATGTGCCCATGAGCTAATCTTTCGAGCTTTTATCAGATAAGACAGAAGTATTTGAGAACATTTTCGAATCAACACTTCACTGGATTCCCAGAAATATTTTTGGCAGTACAGCAAATGATAAGATGTGATTCCCAGCACAAGTGAACTGCAGAGTTCCAGCTCCTCCAGCCCTGGAGACGCAAGGCGGGAGCAGGAAGTCTGGTTGCCCATTAGTGTGGCAGCAGGTGGAACACAAAGCAGGCGAGGAAGGGAGATTTCAAGGGGACACATGGGGGTCTGCAGCGGTGGGTAAGGGAGCAGTAACACCTGTGAATATCGATGTGAAACGAAACTCGGGTTTTGTGACGAGACAAGGAAAAGTTAAGCATGAAAAGTTTTCTCTGCCCTCTGGCCTCCTCTCCTGCATGAGGCATCACCCAGACCACCGCATCAGCAGAAATACCCACTCAGCTAAAGAGCAGCCTTCTGCCAGCATCAGCAAGACGACTCTTTATCGACAGCACTTGTTGTTAATCTCAGAAGAGGTCACGTGAACCACCGCAATGATGACATTTGGATCTGACTGTGTACTCTTAATTTGCTATAGAGCCCTATGTCTCAAAAATCGTGCATAACTGTCCCTAGATTTCTCGTGGGTGGAGCAGTTCTCAGGGCTTTCTGAGGTGCTCTTCAGGTCATAATCCTTGAATCTGGCTCAGATAACGTTTTCCATTTTTTTTATTAGATCGACTGATTAATTGTTCTTCAACTTTAACGTCTTATTTTCTAGATCATCTTGTTGATAATCTATTACCTTCTCAAATAATCTATTACCTTCTTGCTCCTTTATCATCAGGAACCTACTTCTGTTAAACTGAAAAAAGAAAAAATCAACTGGATTTTCATCCCAAATCTTTTACCATGTCTGAGCTCAACTCAAAAATCTTTCCTTACTCCAAAAATAATTTTGAGGCAACTTAAGGAGTATTTATATTACATACGAAGAAAAAGCAAACATGTAGATAAGGAAAAGAAAGTCAGAAGAAAATTCAGAACTGAGGCTGAGATCAGCATCTGGAGATGACTCTACCCTGATAAAGAGGAGATAAAAAGATAAAGAGGAGATCACCGCGTTTGGCCGGACGTGAGTCAGGGCTCCTTGGGACATCCTGCAGCACAGGATGCTGCATCAGACACGAAAAAGGAGCCCCCAAGGGTTGGAATGTGTTGGCTTCATCGTATCAGGCAGGTTTGCCTTATCTGCGTTGATTCTGGTGGGAATTGATCTTCGTGTTGATTTTACTTTCTGTTCACTTTGTACAATGAGCAATAACTTTTGGGGCATTTTGGTGAAAGTGAAAGTCGCTCAGTCATGTCTGACTCTTTGAGACCCCAGGGACTATACAGTCCATGGATTTCTCCAGACCAGAATACTGGAGTGAGTAGCCTTTCCCTTCTCCAGGGAACTTCCCAACCCAGGGATCGAACCCAGGTCTCCCGCATTGCAGGCAGATGCTTTAACCTCTGAGCCACTGGGAAGCCCAGGAATACTGGAGTGGGCAGCCTGTCCCTTCTCCAGGGCATCTTCCCGACCCAGGTAATGGGAGGCAGGTGCAAACTCCTAGTTACAGGTGAGCAGGTGCTGGGACAGCCGCAGAACCGGGAGCAGAGCTCAAGCTGCTGAAGGGCCTGAGGACCGTGGGCCCCACGAGCCCTCATCTCAGAGGAAAGAAAGGATTGTTGCTTCTTTCTGGCCCTTTCTCTGAGTTGTGTCTATGTGAGGGGATAATTGTGGACCGTGACCAGTTCACAGTGCAAGTGTCCCGCCGTCACACTGCTCATCTTACACAGACACGGGGATGCGTGCTGATTACATCCCAGTAGAACTGGGCTGGGAGGGACGAGCCACACACAGAAGGAAACAGGCTCCCGATCTGATCACTTGGAGAGAATCTGTGCGCCGGCTTTTGGGAAGAAACTTCTAGATCTAAAGCTGTGCAAACGTAAAAGAAGAAAGGACAAAGAATCTCGTTTGTTTTCCTCGATGTACCTTTTAACTTGCTTCGGGCCCGGGGCTCCCCCTCTTGCTCTGCTGTGCTGAAAGGTCCGCAGCACTGGAGCTGAGCATGGAGGGAGCGGACCGTCCCCGGACCGTGACGGCGCCGGGCCTCTGGCCGCAGAGAGAGCCCCAGGGACCAGGCCCCAGGGAGCCGAGATGCTCCGTGCTCACTGAGGGCTTCTGCTTCTGGAGACAGGGTCCCAGGGGAGGGACATCCCCCCTTCCTTCCTGCGGACAGGGCTCCCGGGAGGAGGCGGGAGGCTGCTCTGGGCTCAGAGGGGAGCTGCCAATGGAGTCCTGGGCCCACAGAGCATCCGCTCCATCCAGGCCTCCTCACTGCCCAGGGCTGGGGGCGTGTGGTGTGGAGTGTGGGGTGACCCCAGGGTGCATGGTGCGGAATGTGGGGTGACCTGGGGGCATGTGGGGAGGCACGTGGTGCAGAATGTGGGGTGACCTCCGAGCCTCTTCTCCCAAACACCCTGGAATCCTCACTTCGGCTGTTTACTTTCTAAAAAATCACTCCGTGGTCCAGGGTGAGAAAAGTGTGGTCGCAGCCTGCCCTGCTGGAACATGCCTGGCAAGATCCACCAGGAGGGCGGTTTCAGACCAGAGGCCCGGGGACCTGTGTGGGCTGCTCCCCCGTCACCCCATTCTCACTAGAGGGACCCTGGCTTCTGCTCCGCCTCCCTGCCCCCACTTTGGCTTCCCAGGGACCAGTCGTTCCCCAGCTTTGGTTCGCTCCTCGGGGGCTGAAGGGGAGAACAGGACTGGACAGACCCCCCTCCGCAGGCTCGGGGGGCTGGCGGGACCACGAGAACCACTGACACATGTCGATTTGACCCAGGCTTGTTGCCACTCAGCTGCTTCTTAGCCTCCTTATCGTTCCGTTTTCTGTGCTGCTCACTTTATCACAAGCATCCTATAGTGCGGATTTGCAACTGTCATTTCTGGTGACACCATGGTGTTCCATAAAGTGCCTTTATTTCATCTGCTCCAACCTTCCTCTGTACTAGGACTTTGGGGGTTGGTTTCACTTATTTCAGTGCACTTTCAAGTGTTTTGGTATTTTAGGAGGGACATCTGGAATTACTGGGTCAAGAATTCTGTAAGATTTCTGACCTTCTTGCTAACCTGCTTTCCGTGATGTTTATACTGATTCTCAGGGCAAGATGCTTTCAACCACCAAGCTGAAAGATTTCAATCACGACAGCAGCTCCTCAGTGTCCTGCTATCTGCTTGAACGTCCATGATCCTGAAGACACGCCCTTTCACAGAGGTGCGCCCAATGGTCTGAAGACACAGGGTGGCGGGACCCTGAATCCCACTCCCAGGAGAACACGCTCCATCTGCCCTGGTGCAGCTGAGCCAGTGCCAGGTGTAAAACATGGGCAACACCTGCTGGAAGACAGGCTCAGAGGGCGTGGAATCTCGGAGCACGAGATGCTGCTGGGACTCTGGGGAGGCCGGGGAGCTGCTCAGTGCCGAGGGGCAAGGGGTGGCCCCGTGGCAGCTGCGAGAGCTGTGAGCCTCTGCACCCCAGACCCGGAGAGATCTGTGATGGACATGAACCTTGGGATGTGGATGCATGCTGCATCATGACCGCATGTCCATCAGTAGGGGTGTCTGCATCTGTGAGGATGTCCCTGTTCTGGGGGGATGCCCGCATCAGACATGACCTCAGGAGGAGATAGTAGGGGTGATGGCAAGAGGTGTCACAGTGGCATCTGGACAAGCTCAGGGGCAGCGCCTCCGGGACCCGCGCAATCTGTGCTCATGGGCCTTGGGGTAGACAGATCAGCCTGCGGCAACGTTGTCGCGGAGGTGGCCATGGCTGGAGAGAAGCGCCCTGGGGCCCTACTGGGCCCCAGACCCCACACACCCTTCCAGGCTCAGTGAAGACACACACGCAGGTAGAGACCCTTCGTGCTACAAATGTGGTAACACCTTTTTTATTTAGAGTAAGATGTGTTAACATCCAGCATGACAAAATTTGTACAAAGTTCACAATTTAAAAATGAATATCACTGCAACTTGTGATTCCACACATTTATAGCAAAATTAAAGTGTCAACAAACCCATGCCGTGTAGTACAAAAATAAATCAAACTTCAGTTCCACAGAGAGCACGATAAATATTTATACAAAATTCTGTCTTAATAAATGATTACTTAAATTAACTTAGAAATGAATATGAACAATAAGTTATAATAAATAAACTCTGATGACTCACAATAATTCCATATGAAAGGTCAGCATTCTAATATGTGACACTTTTGTGATCCCTATATAATAGTCACAGATAACTTTGATTTGATATTATGTACCAACATCAGATGAGCAGCAGATTTGTGCTTAAAACCCCTTTCCATTGTACATAGGTGAGAACAATTAGAATCCCAAACTGATACTACCTATTACGCTACGAAAAGCATCACTATAATTGGCAAAGAAGCTGCAGACAACGACGGGGCGGGGAGATGCATGTGCCGATATGAACAACGGGGGCCCGCGAGGAGGCCGGGGCCCCGGACGGGGTATGTGGCCGCAGGTGGCGAGGCGCACCTGGCTTCAGCTCTCAAAAAGGCAATTCTGAGCAGGGCAGCTACAACTAATCACCCAACAGAAAGAGGGCCCCGCAGAGAAGGCGCTGCGGCGCCCGAGTCATTATACAGTCTTCTCCCAGCTAATTTTAAAGTCCTCCTGGAAAACTGGTGGCTTTTGTACAGTGAGCAGTATAAAGTGCCGCTGGGATGTACATGTATTTATACATATATATATACCGAGGTTGAGTATTGTATCAGAGTATTTGCGGTGAGGTCCCTGTAATCTCCCGTAGCATCATCAGGTCAGCCGGGAGGCCTCCTCAGATTCCTCCAGGGTCAGAGTCGCGAGGCTACTGACACGGGAATTGCACACCTCCGTACGGATATATAGGACAAGGTAAGTGCAAATAGTCGACTGGCACATTGTGGGGACAATGACCCTGTAAGTCCTGTTCTGCTAAAAATATTTTTTTTTTTATTTTTACAAAACCCATCTTTTTTTTTTTTCATAACAAAATTTTAAAGTACTTTTGTACTTCCTGCATAACATCAAGACATGGAAGGAAGAATGCTATCACATGTAAATCAAGTCAACAGCAATCGGAAACACGACAGGTTGTCCCGGGGATGCATGAGGAGAGGGGAGCGCGGCGGTGGAAAGCGGTCTTACGCATCGCATCGCGGAGTGCAGTCGTCGGGGGAACAGTCAGTCTCCAGGATGGAAACGAGTCTGAGATGATCTAGTGTAAAGCAAAAAAGTGCTGAAGGGCATTTAGTTACTCCCACCGTCTGATTGCATTCGTTCCTAGAGAAGGTCACGACCGAGCCAACAAAGCTAAGCGAACGTTCTGCGGCCCGCGGGCCTCCGGCGGGCGGGACCGCACGTGGGGCGCGCGCTCCCGCCTCTGAACAGGACGCGGGCTTCCTCGAAGCCAGCGCTGGGCGGGGGCGCTTGTCTGAGCCGCTTTCCCACCCAGGCCGGCCCGCAGCTCAGCCCGATCGCGCGAGGACTGCCACGCCGTCTGCCTTTATCCCCCACGGGAAACTCACGACAGCGACAACAACAGGAATGGTAATTGGATAAGGTGGAAGGGGAAAGAAAGAGTCTCAAAGGATCTTTGAGCGCAAAGGAAAACACGGATTCTGCTGGGTGACAGGCGGTTCAGAGGGCAGGAGCCCTCGGGGCAGGAGAAGGTTGCTCCAGGCCGAGAGAGGAGGAGGGGTCTTCGGGCCACCACCTCCACTCTGCCCCTGTCTTAGCGGAAGGTCCCACCGCCACACCGCGTAGCGCTCGGGAGTTAATTTAAAAGCGCTGTTTAAGCTGCTTTGAATCTTCTGCCAAGCTCCCATGGCTTGATGTTGTCTGACAATAAATTACTTATCTCATTCCTTACAGTTACTCCACATGCCATGTCCTTGGAATGCAAAAAACCTCATTTATTGCCCCCACCATACACCATCCTCCTAAAACAAACAAACAAAAACATCACATAATATTTCCAAGCATTGTTCAAAAATAAAGCATTTTTTTGCAACCAATTCTTGCTATGAAACAATATGCACACAAAATGTATTTCTTAAATTCCGTAAGATCCTCGAACATGAGGCAAAACGATAACATCTAAAAAGTGGCTGCGGGTCCACCAAACGATCATTCAGAGCTGTTTCTGTGTGTGTGTGTGTGTCCATTTCAGTTCAAAATACTAAACATTTAATCACTAAAGCGTTAAAAAGAATGTACACTCTATTTATTTTGATCAGCTTACCTCTTCAGAAATATATATACCCCCAATGTGCATACATTAGCAGCTATAAACATTACATGGCATGTCACACTATGTCAGCTTATATGAAAACGTACAAAAATGTGAATGTATTCCAAAACTATTCTGCAGGTACTATCTTTAAAGCAAGACATAAAATCATTATGAAGTCTTGTAAGCATAACACTGTTTCAAACAGAAATAAATATATAACACTTTCTGGTAAATTACAGCAGCAAAGAACAAGAGGCATCCTTTTTTAAGCAAGATTCCATCACTACAGCAGCTGTTCAGACCTGAATTCCTCTCACAGCCTGCTTTATATTTTCCAGTAGAGCTTTATTTTCTGGGCTCTGATAACGGTCTTGATTTGTATACATGTCCGTCAAAGTAGTCACGTATGCATCAAAATTTTGTTCATTGATTGGATCCTACGAGATATTAAATAGTAGTTCATATGCAACTTTTATTTTCTTAATAGGATATTCACATCAGCATAAATTAGTATCCCAGCCTAACGCCACTGTCCTTATCTTACTTAAAAGGCCTTTCAGAGCAACTTAACCTTAGGGGATTTACCGATCAGCCCCACCAGAGCGGTTAGTGTTATGGTTTGGGGGAGGTAACCGCAAGCATCCGAGGTCTGGAGAACCACGAGGACAGAACAGACAGACAGCTACGCTAGGATGTGCACTGCGCGGCCCCCGGGGGCCTCCGCCCGGCGCCGGTCACTTACCATGTGCGGCAGCTGGATGTTGGCGAGGCTGTGGATCAGAGACTGGCTGAGGTTGGCGAGCTCGTGGAGCAGCGACTCGTTCTGCTGCTCGATCACCTTGTTCTCCTCCTCGATGGTCTTGAGGCTGGACTCCATGGTGGTGATCTGCAATGCACAGACCGCGCGACATGTAACACGAGCCGCCCCCCGTGGGAGGCCTCGGCGGCCCACGCAGGGGCGCAGCCTCTCTGCTCGAGTCCAGAGGTTTCCGGCGAAGGACTGGACGCTGAAGGGGTCACTTTGTGTGCTGTGAGTCCTCGCACTGAGCAAGTGGCAAGTGGACCCTAACGGCTGGTCTCTCTGAAAAGGAATCGGTGCACTAAGGCGGGCTAGGTTCCCAGGTTCTATCAGCTTTCATTCGGTCTTTTAAAAGCTCTTCTTGTCACTGTGCACAAACAATCACGTGAGGACTAGCCTTGCACCACCCAGGCCTTTCTGCTGGCGTGGCGGGACAATCTATCTGGATTAGTATCTTAGGACATGGGGCTAACACATCTTCTTCTTAGGCTAAATCTAATACTGCATAGAGACGTCTTGAAATATTGCTTTATTTGTGAGTCACTATCCTCTCCAGAAAAACATCTACTTCTGCTTTATTGACTACACCAAAGCCTTTGACTGTGTGGGTCACAGCGAACTGTGGAAAATTCTGAAAGAGATGGGAATACCAGACCACCTTACCTGCCTCCTGAGAAATCTGTACGTAGGTCAAGAAGCAACAGTTAGAACTGGACGTGGGACAACAGACTGGTTCCAAACTGGGAAAGGAATACATTAAGGCTGTATATTGTCACCCTGCTTATTTAACTTATATGCAGAGTACATCATGAGAAATACTGGGCTGGAGGAAGCACAAGTTGGAATCAAGATTGCAGGGAGAAAAATAAATAACCTCAGATACGCAGATGACACCACATTTATGGCAGAAAGCAAAAAGTAACTGAAGAGCCTCTTGATGAAAGTGAAAGAGGAGAGTGAAAAAGCTGGCTTAAAGCTCAACATTCAGAAAACTAAGATGATGGCATCTCGTCCCATCACTTCATGGCAAATAGATGGGGAAACAGTGAAAACACCGACAGACTTTATTTTCTTGGTCTCCAAAATTACTGCAGGGGTAACTGCAGCTCTGAAATTAAAAGACACTTGCTCCTTGGAAGACAAGCTATGACCAATCTAGACAGAATATTAAAAAGCAGAGCCATTACTTTGCCAACAAAGGTCCTTCTAGTGAAAGCTATGGTTTTTCCAGTAGTCATGTATGGATGTGAAAGTTGTAGTATAAAGAAACTTGAGTGCTGAAGAACTGAGGTTTCGAACTGTGGTGTTGGAGAAGACTCTTGAGAGTCCCTTGGACTGCAAGGAGATCCAACCAGTCCATCCTAAAGGAAATCAGTCCTGAATATCCCTTGGAAGGACTGATGCTGAAGCTGAAACTCCAATCCTTTGGTCACCTGATGTGAAGAGCTGACTTATTTGAATGCTGGGAATTCCTAATGCTGGGACGGATTGGGGGCAGGAGGAGAAGGGGACAACAAAGGATGAGATGGTTGGATGGCATCACCGACTCGATGGACATGCGTGTGTGTAAACTCTGGGAGTTGGTGATAGACAGGGAGGCCTGGCATGCTGTGGTTCATGAGGTAGCAAAGAGTCAGACACGACTGAGTGACTGAACTGATCGTCTCCATAGTCACGAGACAGAGGTCCCTAGTGGCCTGTATGGTGTCACTGCCTCCCTACTTCAGAGAAGGGTCTGGCATGGCTTCCTGACCACTCTACCTTCCTCTAGAAACCCAGAGAGAATGTAACCATCGCTGTGAAGCTTTCTGGCCTCCGCCTGCTGCCAGACAACCAGCCCTTACTCACTGCACGGCAGGCTGGAGAGTGGCCTGCTCTGCGAAGGTTGCAGGGACCCAGCGATGGAACCAAACGGGGCACTCCTGGAGGCCACAGCGTGTGTGCCGGCCTCCACGGGTCCCCAGGCTGGCCTCAGAGGGGACACGCGGAAGCAGGACTGCCTGCCGTATGCCAAGCTCACAGCCTGGCGCCTCCGGACGGCAGCAGCCGACTGCCCGGAATTACCCGAATCTCTGCTCATCAGCTCTAAACTTCGATTTCTCACATAGGGTGTCCCTGCTCACATCGAAGGATCCCAAGTAGTTGGGGTCCGAGGGAGCCCCTGGCTTCAGCTTTCTGAGTTTCGCCAGGTGAAATCTGGCTCTCTGTGGATTCAGGAGTGACAACACTTATTAGTAGGCACACGTCTGTGGGCGAGTGTTTCTCATGGAAGGACACTCGTTGTCTGGGCTTCTGACCCAGCAGGGATCAGGTCAAAACCTAGCACCTCAGTGACTGCTGGGACTTGGGGCCCAGGTGGAACGGTGGGGCGGACAGAGTGCTGCCAGGGGGGTCAGCATACCCTGAGGCTGGCCCACTGGGGTGGAGGGGCTCCCGCGGGGCTCCTAGCAGGAGGGCGGGGCCGCCACCTTCCTCTCAAGGCCCACCCTGAGGCAGCCGTGGGTACCGGGCATCTGGCATCATCCAGCCCAGGAGAGGCCAAGGCTGGCTCTGATGGAGGAACGGCCCAGCCCTCTGTCCAGGGCACCCAGGGCTCGGGGAGGGGCTGGAGGCAGCCTGTTCTGCGGCTCAGGAGCCCTGTGCTGTCAGCTCAAGGTCCTCAGCCTGGGGAGGGCAGGAGGACAGGCCCCCCTGCTACTGGCAGCACCCTCGTCTATGTGTGTGGCAAGCAGCAGCTTCCTGCAGTGGAGGGACGAGAACCCGAGGACTGTGCGTGCATGTGTACACGGCCTCTAGCCCGGGCTCAGGATAGAGCTAAGGTGTGTAAGAGAGAAACGCAGAGCTAAGCGATCACTGATTTGTTGAGACAGAAGGTATACGTAATTCTACACTTGAAAAAAAATTTTTTTTTGGCCAAGCCTCAAAGCTTTAGGGCTCTTAGTTCCCTGACCAGGGATTGAACCTGTGCCCCTTGCCGTGGAAATGCCGAGTCTTCGCACTGGACCGCCAGGGAAGCCCTTGTCCTAAGCACTTTTGATGGAGAGATCACTGGGCTCTTCTGAGCTCAGGACCCAGGACCCTGCAGGGACCCTGGCCTCCTGCAGCCTCTGCAGGAGGAAAACGCGGGTCAGACTGGCATCCACGCCTTCGAAGCAGCAGAACCAGAGCCTGCTTTTGCATGGAGCGCTCACACAGGGCACGCAGGTAACACAGATAAGGGTGAGGCTCGGGCGGTCTGGGCTCCAGGCTGGGGGTGGGGGTGGCAGGCGCTGTGACCTTTGCCTCTTAACCACCCCAGAGGCTGGGTGGGGGGCTGTGTGTGGGTGTCCAGTGTGGTCAGGGGCCCCGCTGAGCACTGTGACCACACCAGGGGGACGGCTGGGGAGGGGGGAATCTGACCACGGCGGGGGGCAGTCTGTGCATGACGGGGCCCCCCCCCAGTGTCACCTGTGACCACACCAGGGGGACGGCTGGGGAGGGGGGATCTGACCACGGGGGGAGGGCAGTCTGTGCATGACGGGGCCCCCCCCAGTGTCACCTGTGACCACACCGGGGGGACGGCTGGGGAGGGGGGATCTGACCGGGGGGGGCAGTCTGTGCAGGATGGGGGCCCCCCCCCAGTGTCACCTGTGACCACACCGGAGGGACGGCTGGGGAGGGGGGATCTGACCACGGCGGGGGGCAGTCTGTGCATGACGGGGCCCCCCCGTGTCACCTGTGACCACACCGGGGGGGCCCGCCCCGGAGCCTCGGGGGGCACAGCCCTGTGGACGGCTGAGCCAGGCCTCCTGGGCCTGCAGCTCTGCAGTCTCGGCTCAGCCACTGCAGGCCACACGCGTGATCTGGTGTGTGCACGTCCTGTGCGGCCGCTGTGAGCACGTGGGGTCAGGACAAGGCACCTGGGCGCAGGCCTCCAGCAGGGGCTCGGTGGGGACCGGACCCGGCGCACCCAGCAGCCTCGCCGGGAGTCTGCGTGGACACGGGCGGCCCTGGAGCCCAGGGAGGGGCTCAGTGTTCCCTGATGGGACGGGCGGCCCAGCCTTCACCTCCGAGGGACGGGCTCGCCCCCTGCAGGGACAGGCGGCCCTCAGGACCCGCCGCCGGGAGCCACGCTCCACTGAAACTGCGACACGAGCGAACACTAGTCCGTCAGCGGCCCCGTGNGCAGGGAGGATGGGGGTCAGAGATGCTGGGCCCGGGGACTCCGTAGGAGGACGGGGGGTCAGAGACGCCGCAGGGAGGATGGGGGGTCAGAGATGCTGGGCCCGGGGACTCCGTAGGAGGATGGGGGGTCAGAGACGCCGCAGGGAGGATGGGGGGTCAGAGATGCTGGGCCCGGGGACTCCGTAGGAGGATGGGGGGTCAGAGACGCCGCAGGGAGGATGGGGGGTCAGAGATGCTGGGCCAGGGGACTCTGTGGGAGGACAGGGGGTCAGAGACGGCGCAGGGAGGATGGGGGGTCAGAGACACCGCAGGGAGGACAGGGGCGCCATCACTCCTCCAGACGGGGAGCCGGGTTTGCCGTGAAGACAGACTCTTGAATGAAAACGAAACAGTCATGTGCTGTGTGTCTTCTCATCCCAGTGCAATCCTCACAAGGAAGGCCCCTACAAACAGGGGAATCAGCTGGGGGGTCATGGACCCTCACAAAGGGAAAGGTTTCATCTTCAGCGAAGCCTGAGAGGGTTCACCAGAGCCTGTGACTGTGCCCCTCTGTATCCGGCAGTCACCCCGTGTCCCGGACATGGGTGCTCCCGGCTCCGGCCACGACCCGTCTGCTCTGCATGCAGTCTGCCTCTCTGTGCCCCCATCCCCTTCTCCCCGGACTCTCAGAAGGAGCCAGGTGGCTGATGTATCTGAAAAGCAGACAGCAGGGTGCCCACCTCGCCAAGCTGGGATTCTGCAGATGAGAACTGATCACACACACACACACACACACACACACACACGACCGAAGCCGAGTTGACGGGTGCTGGGCAGATGCTCTTGCGGAAGGCACAGGGACCGGCTCCAGGTACTGGCTTCAGAAGCTCCCAGAATACGGACCCTGACTGGTGGGCACACCCCTCATCTGAAGGGCCAGCTTGGGGGGCTTTGTGGGGCTGGGTTCCGGGGGGCAAGGAGGTCTCTGTGGGCACCAGCTCCTGAGGGGGCCCGGATGGGCTGCGGGAGGAACGTCAGGGTATATAGGGGTGCGTTAGAGTGCAGCTCTCCCAGCTGGCTGCTGCTGCAAGGCCTCGCTGGTGTCAGAAATACCCTGGCCTGCGCAGTGCTTGCCCTGGACACCTGTGCTTGAGAGTCCTCAGGGAAAGAGCAGAATTCCTGCAGGTACAGGTGCAGGACGGCCACTCCCGTCACTTGCCTGGCGCCTGTGGGAGACTGGGGGCCGCTGTCCAGCTTTGCAGAGAGAGGGGTCCAGTCTGCCCCAGAGGGAGGGCCTCTGACAACCCAGAAACCCTGTGCACGCTGCACCAGGTGCCAAGCCCAGGCCTCGAGAAGAGAGCAAGTGGGGGTTCAGGCCTGCTGCTGTTTGTAGTGAAATGAAGGGGAAAAAGACTCAAGAGAGTAAAACATCCTCCTGTAGAGAAGCCCATTTTTTCCAGGACATCACATTTCCTCATGAACGTGATCGCGCAGGATCATTGCGCTCAGCTTGATTTCCCTTTAATTATTTTTCCTTCTGAACTGTTTCTCCCATGGATCTGTCTCAGGTGGGAAAGTCAGCCTCACGGGTGAGGTGGTCTCGAGTGCCCCCTCCCTCGGCCACGCTCCTGCCGTCATCCAGGGGACCCTGGGTCCATGACCCTGATCAACCCCTTAGGTCTGTAAGGCACTTCTCTGCAGCCTTTTACAGGGTCCAGAGCATCAGCAACAAAGTCTGCCTTTTTTACCAAACGCACCCGAAAAGCAACCCAAGGATACAATAGACGATACTGCCAGTACTGAAGTGAGGTCTACCCTTTCTCAGTGGTGGACTGCTATTTCCCCTTCTGTATCTATGACCAGGCCTTTATGGAAATCTCTCAAAATTAGGAGCTAGGATCAACTGAGTTAGTGTATACAAAACCAACCACTTGGGAGGTCTCCATCAAGGCGGTGGCTAATGTTATTGTTCTTCTGTAGTTGAAGGTCAGGTACACCTCAAGGTAAGAATGCATAAAAACAATCAAGATAAGTGCATAAAAATCCTGATTTGTGAAGCAACTAAATCATGAGTTAATTTACCACGTAATGAGGATTTGCCACGACATTCCTTTAAGTTCCTTAAAGGGCTTCCCTGGTGGCTCAGGCAGTAAAGAGCCCTCCTGCAATGCAAGAGACCGTGGTTCAATCCCTGGGTCGGGAAGATCCACTGGAGAAGGGCATGGCAACCCGCTCCAGTGTTCGTGCCTGGAGAACTCCATGGACAGAGGGGCCTGGCGGGCTGCAGTCCACAGATTGCAAGGGGTCAGACACGAGTGAGCGACCAACACTCACTTCCTCCGAGTCCCTCCCCATCCAGGTGCAGTGAGAACGCTTCATGTGAAATCTGCAGGAAAGTCACAAACCCTCCTGGACCTCTGGGCTCTGAGGGTCAGATGTTCTCAGTGAGTTTCTGTTAAGATTTCTGGACAAGCTCTCCGGGACATATTTCTGGTTTTTCAGGTCTGGACAATTTAAAGTCTTCTCTTTTCCAGGTGTGCTCTGCTAAAGACCAGCCGTGTGAAGAGCAAGTTATCACATTTCTCCAAGAAGCACAGAGAATCCACCTCTTTTCTCCGACCCCTGAGGTCCAGCTGCCTGTGAAGATTTCACGATCTTCGTTCGGTTCAGGCTGTCTGAAGGCCCTGTGACAGGCTCTGATGCTGTGCTGCGGGGGGCACATCTCCCCGAGGCCCCTCAGGTGGCAGCCCGATCCTCTCTGCGGCGTAAGGACACACCGCGCCAGGGGCGCAGCGGTGAAGAGGAGAGCAGTCTTCTCTCACGTGCTAAACAGAATGTCTGATTTTTACTTGCACGTAACACAGGAGTGTCAGCGAGCAGACATGACTGCATGTCAGGAAGGTCCCTGATGCCAGGGTCTGTACATGAGGCCGGTGCAGCTCATCCCAGGGAACCGGCCTCTGTGACCCTCAGAGCTGCTTGATTGAGAGACCAGGTTTTGGATCATTTGTGATAGGAAGGGTGAAAAATGCGCTATACATCTGCCTGTCTCCAATCCGAGATTCATGTTTCCCTTGAGTTGTGAGTGTGATTGTCAGTGGAACAATCCACTTAAGGGATGGCAGTCTGAAGATCACGGCGCTGTTACGAGACCCAGGGAACAGCAGGAAGACTAGCACACCTCGGATTTCCATGAACTTGCCTTGACTGGCTTGTCAGGATGCTCCATCAATGGTACTTCATATACAGCAAAGCCTGTGAGATACCCCAGCGTGTCAGCACTTTTCTCTTGCGGCTCAGTTCAGTAGCTCAGTCGTGTCTGACTCTTTGAGACCCAGTGGACTGCAGCACGCCAGGCTTCCCTGTCCTTCACCAGCTCCCGGAGTTTAGTCAAACTCATGTCCATTGAGTCGGTGATGCCATCCAACCATCTCATCCTCTGTCGCCCCCTTCTCCTCCTGCCTTCAATCTTTCTCAGCATCAGGGTCTTTTCAAATGAGTCAGCTCTTTGCATCAGGTGACCAAAGTATTGGTGTTTCAGCTTCAACATCAGTCCTTCTAATGAATATTCAGGACTGATCTCCTTTAGGATGGACTGGTTTGATCTTGCAGTCCAAGGGACTCTCAAGAGTCTTCTCCAACATCACAGTTTAAAAGCGTCAATTCTTCTGCACTCAGCTTTCTTTATAGTCCAACTCTCACATCCATACATGGCTACTGGAAAAAACATAGCCTTGACTAGGTGGACCTTTCTCTGCAAAGGAATGTCTCTGCTGTCTAGGTTAGTCATAGCTTTTCTTCCAAGAAGCAAGTGTCTTTTAATTTCATGGCTGCAGTCACCATCTGCAGTGATGTTGAAGCCCAAAGAGAGTCTTGGGGCTAGATTCTGGCAAAAGGGAACTAGAAGAATTTTGATAAAGTTATGAGAAGAGAATGTGGTCTCTCTGGAATACAGGTGAAATCTTAGGAACCCGTTTCACTGCTTTGAACTTTCATGAAAGAGTGTCATGTTTTATCATGTTTTGTTTGACTTTCATGGAAAACCAGCGTCTACGCAGGGGACAGAGATCACATGACCAGTAGACGTCCTGAAGTCTGGAGGCATTTCCGAGCTGCCCTGATGAGAGGTTTAGCAGTCTGGGGTTTAAGGCCAGCTTTCCAAACATACAGACCTGGAATCTGAGTCCATATCTGCTACTTACAAGTCCCGTGATGACTACCCTCCTTAATCCCTCAAAACCCCAAATGCCTGCATCACAAAAGGTCCCTGTCAGACACAGTGGCTCTAAGAAATCAACTGTAGGTCAGATACCTGACCTTCAGCGAGACTTGCCAAACGGGCCAAAGAACAGCGTCAGACGCCGCCGTCCCAGCAGCCCGCCAGCACCAGACCTCCGTAGGCACATCTCTGCTCCGACCAGAAAGTGGCGCAAACTGGTTCTGTCCTGCTGACCCAGTCATGGGAGCTAAAAGAATAGCTAAAATAGCTAAAAAAAAAAAAAAAAATACTGCGTCTGCTCTAGTGCAGTGGGCTTCAATACTTTTTTTGAGTTAAAAAATTAATAAAAGACACACCTCTCCTTCACAAGCCCTAAAATTGCCACCTAAAGCTTTTTATGGTGATGTTAAATAGTTGTCAAAAATGTATATATTTCTAGAAAATTGTGTGTTGCATAGTACCTTCAGTATCTTTCCATCAAAGCCTTGGGTCGAGTGTTTTTGAGAACGATCTACTGCAAACTAAGTGGCAAATCAGGCTTCATCATTAAAACAACTTGCAGATCAGATCAGTTTTCCAATGGAGGTCGTCATCACTTTCAATCCAACAAAAACATCAGCCTGGGCCCCCATGACAACCTTCGTACCTCTAATTTTTGCTCTAGGTGGTTAGCAGGCGTGTGAATGGGTGGATGGTGGATGGATGAGAGGGCAGGCGGATGCATGGATGCACTGCGTAGCACAGGCCGCCTCCCTGTCTCCTCCCGAAACTCAGTCCTGCTCCCCCGCTCCCCTGCCCTCTGCCTCCCAGGAGGCGCCCTCAGGAGCCTGGCATTCAGGGCTCTTCCTGGCCAGGTGAGTCCTTCCTTAGCTGACAGTGGGGACTGGGGTCGGGGGAAGGGCAGGCTCATGACCGGTGGGTTCTCAGTCTGTCAGATTCTGGAGAGTCAGGAGGAGTTTGAGGGTCTGGTAATGACGTTCCCAAAGCCATCCACGTGGGTGTGCCCCCAGGTCACCCCTCAGAGCCCAGGTCACCCCTCAGAATCCAGGTCACCCCTGAGAACCCAGGTCACCCCTCAGAGCCCAGGTCACCCCTCAGAATCCAGTCACCCCTCAGAGCACAGGTCACCCCCGAGAACCCAGGTCACCCTTCAGAGCGCAGGTCACCCCTCAGAATCCAGGTCACCCCTCAGAGCACAGGTCACCCCCGAGAACCCAGGTCACCCCTCAGAATCCAGGTCACCCCTGAGAACCCAGGTCACCNGAAAGAGGCTGCCAGGAAGGACTGAGCAATTTGCAACGAGGCTGAAGTTTAATTATTGGGTTGGCCAAAATGTTTGTTCAAGCTTTCTGTAACATCGTACATGAAACCCAAATAAATTTTTTGGCCAACTCAATATTATTTTAGACATTATCTTTAAATCTTTAAATACCCCCAATAGGAATTCTATCAAACTATGTATGTCTGTATGCATTTGGTCTTTTAGCCCTAATTTGGTCCAGCTTCTAGGAAGTCATCATGAAAAGACCATAAACATCTGCTGCAGCCAGCATTCATGGTTTTTGTTTATGCCCTGTATATGCCTTCATCTCCCTCTCCCTGCCCCTGGTCTAAATCCTATCTGTCCTCCAAGCGCAGCTTGTATTTCACACTCTTCAAGAAGCATGTACTAGTTACTCCAGCTCACTATAATCTCTGTTTCTTTGGATTTCATAGCCAATATTACTGCCCATATGGCTTTCTTGGCACTCTCACATACTACCTGATCCTTCTTGTATTGAAGCAGTAAGTCAGAATTATTAAAAGTATATTTAATATTGTAGTCAAATATGTGCATGCATGCTAAGTTGTTTCAGTCATGTCTGACTCTTTGCGACCCCATGGACTGTAGCCCGCCAGGCTCCTCTGTCCGTGGGATTCTCCAGGCAAGAACACTGGAGTGAGTTGCCATTTCCTTCTCCAGCTTCCCTCCCGAAGGCTTGACCAAAACCAAAAACCAAAACCACACACAAAGGACTGAAAATCCAAAGCCCCAAGGCCCCTGCCGCCCGGCTCCGGGGAGGGAGGCTCAGAGGCCCGCAGTGAATGTGTGCGGGGGGTCCCAGAGGAGACCCCGATAACTGTGCGGGGCACCAGCTACTCAGAGACGATAGGGGGACACTCAGAACAATGAGAGTCTTTGGGGGAAGAGGCCAGAGCAGGCTCTTCTCTAAACTTCAGAAAGAAAAAGAGAACACTGGATTTTGGAAACGGAAAGAGACTTTGGGACCTTCAGACATGCTCCTTCCCATTCAGATGAACGCCTGGGGGAGAACGCCCGGACTCAGGACCAGAGGTGCTGGCCCAAGTCAGCCAGGAGCTTCAGGCAGGCCTGGCCGCAGTGCTCCATGACCGTAAGAGGACAGGGTGTCGAGGAGAGTGAGTGACCTTGGACAAGGCGTACTCTCCTGATTCTCCGAGAAGAGAGAGAGAGGTCGTCTCTTCCTCACACATGGCGGGGGCCTTGACTTCGACTGCGGCGGGCAGGCATGGCTGATGTGGGCAGTGACCACTGACCCCCAGCCCCCTAAAGAGAGGAGCGAATCTCCCGAGTCCTGCCCTTGGGTCAGACACACAGGGATGAGGCCATTTATCCACGGAGAGATGCATTCAGCTCTGGGTTCAGTAAGAAATGCCTCTAGTCCTGCCAGAAAAGGTGCCCCCAACAGGTGTGGAGCGAGGGGACCGTCAGGCCAGGCTCCACACGGCCTGGGCTTGGGGAGACCTGGGTTTGACCTGACTCTGGAGCTTCATCTCCCGGTGACCTGAGCTCCCAGGGTCCTCGTCTGTGGACGAGTGTGTGATAGAACCTACAGCAGGAAGACACGTTCTGAAACCTAGAGTCATGGAGCTGAGCTCGGATGCAGAGATGAGCCGATGGCGACCCGCGAGGGCACCCCCGCTGACCCGGCTGGGCCTGCAGTCGGGCGTCCAGCCAGAGGAAGCCGGGGCTCCTCTCCCATGTGGCGCCCGCCCTTTCTGGCTCCCAGCTGTGCTTGGCCGACACAGAAGGAGGACTCTGAGGGTCAGACATCCCACAGGAGAGACACCAGCCAGGGCCTCCCCACACTCCAGCCGCCCCACCGGGGGAAGGCTCCTCCTCCAGTTTGCAGGCCTGCTCGCTGCACTTCTGGCTGTGTCTACACTGCTCCATCTGTCCAGAGTCAGAAGCTGGAGTGGGCTCACATCAGTTTGCAGAAGGATTTTTGCTTTAGCTCCAGGGTTGTTTGCAGGTGAGATGTCGGGCTAAACATTTCGGAAAGAGCTCAGTGGATATGGCTTTCCTCGGGGCAATGCGCCCCTCAATGGCTGAGTGAGACGGGATGTTGGTGACCTTGGAGTCTCTAGACCAGCTCCTCAGGCTGGTGGGCTGGTCTGAAGGCTCCTGTCCAACTGGTCCTGCGTCTCGAGCCCCCGGCCGCCTTGAACAGATGTGGGTTCATGGGACTGAGACTTCAGGTGAGGCGTTGTGGCCCTGGCTGCCTTCCTGGTAGATGATGGGGCCCGTGTTAAGGACCGTTATCTCTGCACACTTTGAGCTATACTCAGGACTGAAAATGAATGTCCAGTGAGCCACAGCAGCTTCCAGATGGAGGCTAAGGCTGCCGACACCATCAGGCCAGCACGTGGCAGGGCCGGATCCCTGGACCCCAGCCCAGGAAGTGGGGGAGGAGGGGCCTGGCTCTACCCCCACCCAGTACTGGCGGCCGGGCTCCTGTGATGCGCCCAGGCTTCTAGCCCGGGGTGACCATGCCTTTGGGGCCACAGAGTTAGGGAGGTGCCTTGCCTAGAGCCTGGACCCATGACTTGAACAGAAAACCTGCTCTGCACGAGCCCCGCTCCCCAGAGTCCTCCGGAGGGGTCTGGAAGGGGAGGCTCTCACCGGCCACTTTGCTAACTCCTGATCACAGTTTCGCTGAGCTCCGTTCACCAGTGACCACAGAACCTCAGCACCTGGGGACACACGCAAACACCGCACCAGTGACCACGGACTGCCCCTCTCAGGGACACACGCAGTCAGCCCCCCTCGAGCCTTGGCAGCAGAGCTGTGGTCAGCGCGTCCGTCCGTGTGTTTGTTGCAGACATGTCCTTGTTTCACGTGTGTGCTGGTCCATTCACACTGGACTCTCGGCCAGCAGCCTTGAGACGAAGCCGGACTCTCACGCTTTCTCCCCATGGCCTGTCACAGCCTTGTCACAGCCAGGACGCCACACAGCACCACAGCCCTGCCCTGGTGCCTCTTAAACTGTGATGTCTCCAACAGGACAACACACAAACTGGAAAAACACAGCGCCCGTGGACTGCGCAGGGAGGAGGACCCTGATTAGGAACCCCGGTAGGAGGAGGCTGGGACGGTGCCCTGCGAGAAACTGACCAGGGGCTCCCCCTGCCCCTGCCCGTGCCCCGGGGGCCTGGAAGCCCCCAGAGGGCTGACTGGGGGTCAGAACACAGACTTGAGTGTTCTGCAGGCGAATTCACTGCTGTGGAATCTGGGGGCCACGAGGACAGACGGGGACTGGACTGGTGCCCGGGTGTGCGCACGGGGCTTCCCGCCTGCGCCTCTATGCCCCTGCAGGAGGGCATCTGGAGGAGCGCTGTGTGGATGGACAGACGGACGCAAGGTTAGGCCCCAGAGGACAGGGGCTGGGGGTGGGTGAGTGTGGCCGGGGGACCCCTGCTCCGCCCCCCGGGAGGCCGCCCCGGTGGACCGGCTCTGGGCAGGCGGGAGTGCCCGGAGCCTCCCCGCACGAGGGGCGGGGTGGGAGGAGGCAGGGAGGCCGGGCGGGGGCGCCGTTACCATTGCTGGCTCGCTGCCGGATGGTCAGCATTTGCTCTCCCGACAACTTCGCCTTCTTCATGGCGGATGTGGCCCGCGGGCATCCCGACAAGCTGGGGGCGAGACAGGAGACGACGTGAGTCAGGCGCTGGGAGACCCCAGGGGCAGGGGGAGCCGCCCCGGGCCCCGCCTGGCGGCGGGCAGGCGTGGCGGGAACCACGGCGCTCGGGCTGGCCAGGACCTCAGGGCTGCGGCGAGGCCGGGCCGCGGTCTGGCCGCCGGGCGAGGCAGACCAGCCCCTTCGGGCCGCGTCCGCCCTTGAGGGTTTCCGGGACTCTCACGGAGGAACCCCCTTCTTTAAAAACTTCCCTACGGAAAGTCTCAACCCCGCACAAGGGTTGGATGCAAAATGTACCAAAATGAAAGGGCGGTCTGAGGAGCCCCCAGACATGCTGACTCAGCAGGGCCCTTCCCCACAGTTACTGCGAGAAATTCAGTAACCTCTCAGTGGTCCGCCTCTCATCCACCTGGCGCAAACGACTGCCGACTCCCTGACCATCGGGGTCTGACGCCTCGCTGTCTCCTCACGCGCGTGCCCAGGTCCCTGTGTACTCTGCACCCTGGGTTGGGCCCCGGGACTGAGCTGTGTCTCTGCAGGACGCCTCTCCCCGTTTCTTACTTTCTGGGTCCGTGCTCGGGACCCACCCCACCCAGGGGCAGAGCACAGAGTGACCGGGGAACACGCTTGTAACGTCTGCATCGGCCCAGTGAGCCTCCGGAAGGGCTCCCCTGACGCCTTCTCCAACACTTTCCCGATGTGCTTTCGGCAAGTGTTCGGTGGGGGGACAGGTCTTCATACAACAAGGAAGTTTCGAGTTGTGGGTTCGAGGGGAAGCTTGTCTCTGACGGCTGTGCAGGGCTCTCCCCGGAGCCTGGGTGACCGCCCTGCCTGCCACTTCTCCCAGAAACTCGTTGGGCCCCAGACTCGCTCAGGAAGCTTCTAGATCCACAGGGGGAGGGGCAGCAGGAAAAACAGGTTGCTTCCTGTTTGCACCCCTGGGGCCGTCAGACCAGGCCCACTGATCGGAGGCCAGCATGTCCCTGGGCAGGGGCTCCAGGACGCTCGTGGACTGAAAGCTGTGCGCTGAGGGTGACTGCCCACCGCGACCCTCCCACCAGAACACTGAGTGGTCAGAGGGAGCGATGGACAGCCAGGGTGGCCAGAAAGGCGGAGGCGGCCCGGCCACACGGAAGCCAGGGAGGGCCTCCGTGTCCGCAGACGTCCGTCAGCAGGCGGATGGAGCCCAGCAGCAGGATGAGCTGCAGTTTCACACAGGGATTCCTGGACCCACGCGCAGCGTCGGAATCGGATTTCGGTCCTCAGTGGTTTCTCCTCGTTTCCGGTTAACGGAACCGCTGGCCGGAAACGACAAACTAATGGTGCCCCGCAGCCGGAGCTGGGAACTGAATCAGGAGACAGAGGCCCAGAGATGGATGTGTTTTGTGCACACAGCCTGCTCTGTGCTGCTCCCATTCCGATCCTGTGACTGCATCCCAGCGCGGCTCAAATTTGGAAGTGCCCCGGGTAGGCAGCCTCCGCTCGGCGTTGGGTGGCCGGGTCCCCAGCGAGGGCGCAGTGCCATCTAGCGGCCACTCGCGCCAACCTCACCGGGTGCCGGGGTCCCAGCTGGTCCAGGGATCTCAGGGCCAAGTCCACGCGGCGGGTCCTGCTGGGGTGTGACTCAGGGGGGGGGTCTCAGTGCGATGGGGGTGCAGTCCTGGCAGGGGGAGACCCAGCAGCCTTTAAGGAGACATCGCTGATGAAAGCCAGACTTCTGGAGGGGCCCGGAAAGGTCCAGGATCCAGATTCCTAGCAGCAAGGAGTTAACCGGTCTCTGCCCCAGGGCCTGTACTTGGGCCCCAGGATGGCCGCGGCTCCACCAGGAACTCCCGGGAGGGCTCTGGGCAAACACTGCCAGGGCTTCAGAGGGGACGGAGGGGCTGGGGGCCCAGCGTTTTATTAGGACTTGCCCCTGCTTTGCTGCAGTCCGCAGGGTCGCAAAGAACCAGACACGACTGAGCAACGGAACAGCATCCCCCCGCCCGCCAGAGGCACTCCCTTCAGGAGGACGTTGCCATGAAAATAGCTCAGTACATAAAATTCCCAGGGTGGGGCGGTGGTTAGAGAGACACAGGACCCGTGGGGTTGTATTGCTCCGAGGTTTGCTCACGACCCGGAAGCGGCTGGGGATCGGGAACCACGGACCCCGGCCTGGTGAAAGGCCCTGGCTCAGTCTCTGTCCCAGGAAACGCGGGTTTGCTCTTCTGGTATCTTGTTGTCTCACTGTTGCGATTTCACCATTGCTGCTAAAATCCCCGTAAGGACAGCACACTCCCTGCACAGCGCACGGATTCCCACGCCAACGCCGCCTTCACGCGGGAACTCTGGGGCCGTGTCCCCTGTGCCATGGGGGATGGGAGTGCGGCACTGCAGGCAGGCATGAGGGGCCGGCTTTAACAAGGGCGCGTGTCACACCCGCTGAGCAGCCAGCTTTGAACTGGCTTCCTAGGACCTCAGGGCGGGTGCTGGGCGCACAGGGTGTCCTCTGATGCCCAGGGAACCCCTGCCTCCCGTTACTTGTCTGATCTGCTCCTGTTTCAGTGTGAAGGGCTGTCCTTGCAGGCCTTTCTCAGTCCATGATCCAGATCTGGAGTTTCTCCCAAACCATTTGGTGCCAAATGTGAGCCTTGGAGAGAGGGCAGTGTAGGAACAGGAGGTTCTGCACCCAGAGAGTTGGGCCTTTGGGTCTCCCACTCATGGGTGTTAATTAGCATGGGGCTGTGGGCCAGACGGGAGAGTAGCAGGCTCTGCAATCACCAAGTTTCTCCTGCGTGGTGCCCCACCACCCATGCATTTTGATGGCATCATGGGTGAATTAGCTGTTTGTGAGGGTCTTGGTGCCTGGCCAGCAGCTATAACAGGATTGCTTGGGTCTCCCCCCGCCACGGATGGGGATTGAGGGGCTTGCACACGCTCCTGAAAAGGACTGCTGTTATCATGCCGTTCTGACCCACCGTTTGCCCGGAGTCACCGTGGAGCCTGAGGGCAGGTGTGGAGTTGGACCGCCCACAGGGACGGCCTTCAGAGGGTCAGCTGTGCTTTTCCTGGCAGTGTGAGGACCGTACTGCTAAATCGAGGGGCTCCACTCTTGGGCAAGTGCCCCTCTGGTGTGGGTGAGAGTGGTGTTTATGAAAACGTGGCTGGTGCCCCCTGTGGGGAGGCCTGGATGCTCATCTCCCAGAAGCTCAGGGATCAGTCTGCTATAAATCATTGCTGTGGGTGGTCATGTCCCCAGAGGATGCTGATGCCCTGAGTCCAGACCCGACAGGACCCAATGGGAAGCTGGGCCTGTGAGGCACCCTCAGGTCAAGATGATGTGGTGCTGGAGGGCTGGGGAGGCCTGTCCTGTGTCCTCACGAGGAAGAAGAGGGGCATTTGGACCCAGACACAGAGAAAGGACGTGTGACAAAGGGCAGAGACGAGGCGGCGCCCCAAACCGCCTTCCCCACCCGCAGCCCGCCCTGGTCGTGACTTCTGGCCTCTGAGACCGATAGGACAAACTCTCTTGCTTTAACACCGTAACACAGTAGGTCGTGGTGTGTGTTAGGCAGCGTAAGAAACTGATACCATCATATCTGTTCATCAGTTCTGGGCTCCTCATCCACATTTCCCATTTTCCTGTACTATTTCTGTTTTTGGATATGAACATGACTATTCTGTGAATGTGGTTTTTTTGCCATGAGTTCAGGAGTGCTGGCACATCTGAAGGAGCAGCTGAGAGTGCAGGGGCCCCCCGACACTGAGGACTTAGGGCAGAGGTGTTGCAGGAGTGGGGACATGGAGCCCGGGCTCCTGGCAGGTGGTGATGAGTGTGGCTGGACGTGTCCTCACCCAGTTGGGCCCCTGGCTGCCCATGAGGGCTGCTCAGGTGCCTTCCCAGAGCGGGGACCCAGCAGGCAGGCGCCGAGGGCAGCAGAGGGCGGCTCTGAAGGACCGAGGGCCGCGGAGCTTCAGGAAGGGAGCTGGGGTTCGGAGGGGCCTGCAGGGCATCCCGGGTGCTGCTCAGCCCTGCGCCGTCCAAGGGGGAAGCCCCATCACCTGTGCACTGTGCACATTGAACCTTGTATTAATTCAAGCCAAACAATGGTGAACCTTGGCTCTTGCGTTGTGGTGACTGAGCGTCAGCCATGGGCCCACTAGCCTCGCATGTCCGGTGACGCCAGACCAGCAAACGGGGCAGCAGCGGATGGATGGATGTGAACACGCTTCAGGAGGAGAAAGTCTGAAAACATCAAGCACGGTGGCATCTCCCCAGGAGCCTGCCCCCAGCCCCCGTGGTCTCCTGGAGGCCGGCGCTGTGACCCAGCTGCTAACATCCACAGGCCCTGTGGGATTCGCGGTTTGGAACAGATGTTGGATCTGAGTTTTTCCCTTCTTAGTGCTTTGTGGCAAGTACTGAAATGTGGAGGTTGGAGTAAAAGCATCCATACATCTGAGGAGCTTGCAGGAGCAGCGGTCAGCACAGCTGGGTGGACAGGGGATGGGCTGCGGTGCCCGGGGTGAGGCCTGCCCCGAGAGCAGGGCCTGCTGAATTCCTTCTCTCCTCCCAAGGAGGACTCCGACTACAGCATGAAACGGGGACCTGGCTGGTTCCCCCAGAGGAGTCCCGCAGTCATGCTGAGCCAGCATGGGGTCTGCTCCAGGGGAGACGAGCTCCACCCCCGCAGCATCTTCTCCTCCGGAGGCCTGGGACCCTCTGCCCTCCTCACCTCCTGAAGATCTCAGAGAATCCAGAATGGAGAATCACTCTCCTCCGTAAGTGAGCTGCCATGTTTCCAACATCCTGCCCTCAAATAGAAGACTACCAGCTGGGCTGGAGGCCCTGCCACGCCTTCCGTTCCCTCCACCCCCCTGCCAGGAGGCAGTGGGAGACTGAGGTTCGGAGAAGGCAGGAAGGGGTGTGTGATGGCCCTGGGGAGAGGCAAGTGTCCAGGGGCTGGACACGAGCTCATTAGGAGCGGTGCAGGGCTGGCCTGCAGCCAGCCCAGCACCCCAGGGCTGTGATACTGTGAAGTCCCGATTTACCGCCAGCCAGTCTCGAGTCAGGAAACTTGGGGCTGCGTCAGTGTCCGCTCTCCGCACGTGGGGCTTGGGCGAGTGTGGCCATGGTCCCAGCCCACCTCCATGCTCCTGTGCAGAGAGTGACCCATCTGCGGAGGCCAAGGGCAGTGGGCGCTCCTGCTGGTGGGACAGCTGGGCCGGGAGAGGTCTGCCCTCTTCACTCCCTCTCCTTGGGGTCCATCCCACGACACCAGGCTTCTTGCATACCTGCCCTGCAGCAGCCTTGGCCTTGGTCTTGCAGATGTACTGACAGACAGACTGAGATGCAGATGGTCCACGGACAAAATGCCCAGACAGTCTTTGGTTGACCAGCTTTCTCCTTACTGGCATCTCTGAAATGGAACTATGCAGACCTCAGGGAGCTGTGGTTTCTTGTCGACATAGATTTTGTTAAAAAAAAAAAGCTACGGCTTTCCCACATCACAGAAAGGCAGGTACATAAAGGCTCTCTTCTTGGAGGCACAAGCATCCCAAGTGGACTACATTTCCCAGCATCCCATGCAGACTACACTTCCCAGCACCCCTTGCACTAGGAGATGCTATGGACAGGGTTCCACCGGTTGGGTAAGACGGAAGTAATTCCTGTTCCCTGTCTCCCAGGGGGATCCTCCGCATTCTCTCCATCTTGGACTGTGGAATGAAGACCACCCTTGGAGAAGGTGCCGAAGGTGGCTGAGCCCCTCTCTGCTGTCCCCTCATCCTGTTCTGTCGTGTGAGCAAGAAAGGAACCTCCAGTGTTTGGAGTGGTTGTTAAGGCTGTATATCCAGCTCACATTTACATTAAAGGAGAAGGTTGATCACAAAAATAACTCATAGAAGTCACTCACTGTGGTGACATGTTTACCACAATTCTCTTGGGGAATATCACGCACAATAAATACCTAAAAACGGCGGTCTCTGCGTTTATAAAGGCCAGCAGAGAAACTGAAAACAAATGGATTAGGTCATGTGGTCCCGGTGGGAGGGGGTTTAAGAGGGCCTGGGAGGTAGTTTCTAAAAAATATTTAGATCACGCCTAGTGAGAGACGAGTTACTTCTAAGATGACTTATTTATTTGTTAGGATTAGAGCTGTGGCTTTGATTTTGGGGAATCTTCCTGCTCTGCGTAGAGCGGGACGAGATTGAGGTGAGAGCACAGTGTGGCCAGCACACTCTCACGCAGAGCGGTGGTTCCACGGTTACAGAAACCCCTCCCCAGCCCCTCCCTCCGAGCCTGTATCTCGCCTGTGTAGGAGGCTCCACAGTTTGCATAGTCCCGACAGCCCCCACTCAGGCTGGGGAGGCCTTTCGAGTCAGCCGAGCCATTGCCACCCCCCCACCACCACCCCAAGGCAGGTGAGACCCTGTCAGAGCATCCTCTCTCCGGCCCTTCCCCTGACGCCTCTGATCCCGGTCCTGGAATCTGGCCCGGAGCCACTCCAGGCACCTCGTCCTGTGTCTGGTGAGACCCTGGCGCCTTGGTCACTATGCATCTCGAGATCTGGTCCTTCACGTCGCCATGGCTGCTCTGCGCCGTTAGCGCTTTCCGCCGCCTGGCTTCTTCCCTTCGGGTAGAGCCCTCGCCCAGCCGCCCTTTCCAAGAACGCCCTCCCTTGCTCCTGAGGAGCCCTAGCTGCTCCCAGGTCTTGTTTACCATCTCAGCTGCAGCTTTTCACTCGGCCAGTCCTAATGATGGAGAAACCCACTTCCTAGAGCTTCACAGCTCCCCCCAGCCCCATCCTTACACAGAAGAAATGAAACGGTTCACAGCAGATGGGGGCATGGGCACTCGGGGTATGTTGGTGTGGTCACCCCCCTGAAGAGGAAAGCAGGGCAAGTGGGCGTCCTGGGACCCGGAAGCCAGGGCAGGTGCCCCCCCCTCCATCTACTCTTCTGATTCTAAAAGCTGCTTTGCTACCGTGGCATGTGGGCTGTACAAGCAGCTTGAATCTCAAACCACTACCTATGTCTTCCTGGGAGGCCTGTCCACACCCAGGCCTCAAAGGTCTGAGGAATCGCCAGTGAGTTCCAGAGCGTCAGCCAGGCCCAGGGACTTCACTGGGAGAGGCATCAGGACCCTCTGCTAAACCCGTGTTTGTGCCTCAGCTGTGTTCCAGCCAGGTTTGTGGTTCTCCCGCCAGGGAACAGCATTTCAACTATACAATAAAACAGATGAAAACTTGTTCCACAGCTGAAAGTTGCAGGCCAACATGCGGCAGGGCACGATTCAGCCTTCAAAAGGAAGGCGGTCTGACACAGGCTATAATGTGGAGGGACCTGGAGCTGTGCTGATGGAGATAAGGGATCACGGGACGGACAGCCTGTGATTCCCCCTAGGTGAGGACCAGAGAGTCCGACCCGCTAGACGGCGGTTCCAGGAGCCCCGCCGGGGCTGGGAGTGCGTGTCCAGTGGGCACAGGGTTTCCTTCTGGAGGTGAGGGGCCTGGGGATGAACGTGCCTGCACAACAGAGACTCTACTTCTCGCCTGCGAAAGGGACACTTAAGAGTGGGTAGGACGGTAAATGTCATGTTGTGTGCTTTTTACCACAATTTAAAATGTTCAGGTCAGCTCTCCCAGGGTCCTGTTCACCCCTCTAACCCCCTGCACCCCGGCCCCCAAGACACATTTGTATCTAGAAGGGGGGAGCCCGCCACCCGCCACCCAGGGGTTCCCGCCACTCTCCACGCAATATCCACGTCCCTTCCCTCCTCGGAGGGGTCAGAGATAGCGGGTCAGACCCTGCTGAGCGAGCGTCACAGAGAAATGAAGTATCTAAAATCTCTGCGCGGCCCCGCCCACCACAAGCAGGGCCCCGCCCACCGTGGAGCAGCCTCTGAGGCTGAGGCTCCGCCCCCTGCGGCTCCGCCCACCACAAGCAGGATCCCGCCCACCGTGGACTGGCCTCTAATACTGAGGCTCCGCCCCGTACGGCTCCACCCACCACAAGCAGGGCCCCGCCCACTGTGGAGCAACTTCTGAGATACTGAGGCTCCGCCCTGGTGGCTCCGCCCCCAGGAGGCTCCGCCCACCACAAGCAGGGCCCTGCCCACCGTGGAGCGGCCTCTGATACTGAGGCTCCGCCCCTAAGCTCCGCCCTCAGTGGCTCCGCCCCCGGCGGCTCCGCCCCCTGGCTCTGTCTCATTGCGGAGCCGCCGCCCGGACCACAGCTCTGCCCCCAGGGATGGGTGGAGTGGGCTGGTCGTTCCTGCCCTGGACTCAGGGGGCTCCTCCCGGTACCCCCTCGGCGCCCTTGGTGAGCTGTCTGCAGACCCGAGGGTGCATCACGGGGATTCTGTACGGAGAGATTTTGCCGAAGCACAGTCACAGGTCTGTCTTCACTAGACCTACCCCAAGATTCCCTCCAGCTCGTCGAGACAGGGGTGCCTTTGAATCAAAGCCCCCTCCTGGCCAGAGACCGTCCGCAGGAGTGTCCGTTAGGGGAAAAGAGACGGGGAAGGCTAGAAACCAGGAGAGCCTGGGCGTCTTTATGCGATTGCTGGGTCCGGTGACCCGAGTGTCAAGCCGGAGTGTAAGCGGGTGTTGGGGGCGTGCCGAGGGTCCGAGTCCCGCCTGGTGGGAGCGCCCCAGAGTCAGGGGCCCGGGCCAGCCCCACAGGCCCCGAGGGGGCACTGAGTGACCAGCCTGGGGGGGTGCGCACTGCTGGGTGGCTCTTCACGGAGGTCACTCTCCTGATTCTCGGGGAACAGTTCAGTCAGAGGCTTGGGAACAGCCTGAGTAGCAGTTATGTTCATGTCTGTCTTCTGGTGGTGTTTCGGGTACCCGAGTGTGTATGTGTGAGTTAAGTTGCTCAGTCGTGTCTGACTCTTTGCCACCCCATGGACTGTAGCCCGCTAGGCTCCTCTGTTCATGGGAGTCTCCAGGCAAGAATACTGGAGTGGGCTGTCATGCCCTCCTCGAGGGGATCTTTCTGACCCACAAACAGAACCCGTGTCTCTTTTGTCTCCTGCATTGGCCGGTAGGTTCTTTACCACTGTCATCACCTGGGAAGCCCTGTGGTACATATCTACAATGAAATATTACTCAGCCACGAAAAGGAATGAGTTTGAGTCAGTTGCAGTGAACTGGATGAACTTAGAGCCTGTTATACAGAGTGAAGTAAGTCAGAAAGAGAAAAACAAATATCGAATATTAACATATATATGGAATCTAGAAAANTTTTTGGAGGTTTTCTGATGTATCTAATGAGGCTCCTCTAACCACATGCCACCTTGTCCTCGAGTGGGACCTGTTTGCCATATTCAGCCAAAGCGAATAATTGAACCCACAGATACTCTTGTGAGTGTGTGTGCGTGTGTAAAATGACAACCTGTTTCTGTGGATCCCAGTGTTAGGCACTGGGAAGCCTCTCCATACACACTTATGAGGTGGGATGAGTGTGTGCTTTGCAAAATGCGTCTAAGGTTGCTTCTTCTCTCCCGGCACCTCCGCACGCCATGAGCTGCTGTGGGTTCTCAGTCTTCCCTCCCGCAGCCTGGGGCGCGGGTGTGGCGGGGACCCTGGCGCGCAGGCGGGCAGGTGCACTCACCTGCGGTGTGTGAGGAAGCTGCCGCTGACGTGCCCCGAGCCGTCGCAGCCAGGCGTGGGGCAAGACATGCCCTCCGTCTTGACCGACTTCCAGGAGAACTGGGAGCCGTTGAGGTAGCCGTCCTTCTGCCTCTTGGCCGCCAGCGGACACCCGGACGCGCTGCGGTGTGAGGCGTACTTGCCGGTGATGTGGCCCTGGCCATCACACCCGGGCACCGGGCACCTGGGGGCAGAGCGGGCACTTGACTGTCTCGCCCCCAGGTGCCCGGTGGCCCCGCAGCAAAGTCAAAGTAACCCGACAAGAAGGGAAAACCAGCATCTTCTACTCCGTGCCCGGTGGCCCCGCAGCAAAGTCAAAGTAACCCGACAAGAAGGGAAAACCAGCATCTTCTACTCCGGTTCCAGTGGGATTGAAAAAAACAAGACCACTCAAAGGCACCACCTAGTGGAGCAGTGAGGTAGTTCACCTTCCGGGAAACTGGTCCAGGGAAGGGGCAAGAGGCTTTCCCGGAGCGGAGCGTCCTCGCTTGGGGAGGGATGCCCACACCCATGCGAGAAAAAGAACTCGTTTGTTGGAGCAGCTGGGGTGCGGGTGTCTGTCTGAGAGACACCGCTTTGGGACAAGGTCTCAGCCTTCAGCAGGAGATGTGCAAACTCAATGGGAAATTGACTTTGGGATTATTTTTAAAAGATTGTTTTATAAACCTGTGTTCTTCTCAGGAGCAGGAGAACACCTATTTGTTTGGCCATGTTTTCTAGACCACAGGATACCCCTCTAGCCAGACGGGTGTGAGCAGCAGAGGCGGTTTAGTTACAAGGTGCCCCAGGAGCACTTTTTAATTTTTGTGATAAATGGGAAGTTCACCAACCGGAGCTAAAGTTCAGCAACAGGCTAATCAAGCAGTGTTTCTGATACTTCTCTGTCACAGGTTATGGCAAAGTGCCAAGGACTTACAGCAAAACCACAGGCACGTTTGTTTGTTATCATCAAAACTTTTCTCCAAAGACATTGCGTGAGATTAAAATTTCCAGAAGATGGCAGTGGATTTATATCACGGGTCTTTGAGGCTCACTGGGAAGCGATTCAGGGCCGGGGCCTGCAGGGAGCGGGGTGGAGGGCTGGCCTTCTACCCGCAATGGTCTCCATCCTCCTTAGCAAGAAGCAGAGGACCGACAGCGGGAGACTCGGGATATAAGCGGGAGACTCGGCCGTATGCTGGGTGTTGTGGTTAATGACGTCACACGCTATCATGAACCCGACAGTGTATGTAAATACGCTCAGTATGTTCGTAAATGCGCCCAGTAAGTTAACCCTCCCAGGGAGGTGTAGAGGGACGGTCCTTGTAACTGGTTTTACCACCCCGGATGGACAGACATCCGGCTGGCACCGCGTCTGTCTCTCAGAGGGTGCTTCTGGCCGAGTGCAGGTGTGCGTTGCTCTCGAAGCTGTGAGCTTGCCCTCCTCCAACCGCTCCAAGCCGGACATGCCCCGGCCGGCAGCCCCCGGCCCCGCCCCCGGCCCCGCCCCCGGCCCACGCACCTGATGGGCTCCTGGTCTTCCTTGTCCTCTTTGCTCTGTGCTATCCTGATGCCACTCTTCTTGGCTCTCGGGCAACCTGAAAGGCTAAGAAGACAGGTGACTTCAGAAGCTGTCCTGCACCTTTACCCTCGAGCTTTCACTGTTGATGGTGCTTTGACCCAATTTCCTCCAGAATCTGGTGCTTCTTGGCGTGAAGACAAAGTCCTGGGGAAGGGTCCATTCGGGCTTAGGAGCCCCTTGGGGCTCCCCCCAGGCCTTCAGACACTGCAGATCCCCCAGAAGGGCACCCAGAGCCTGGTGGGGGGAACCAGCCCCTGTGGAGTCTGGAGTCCCAGGAGAGGTGGGACTGACCTGTGGGGATGGGTGTTCTCAGCACAGAGGGGCTACAGTGGGGAGACACACAGGCCCCCCTTCCTTCCTGCAGCTGGGTCCCAGAGTCCCCTGACCTGTGAGGGGTGTGCACCTGCCGCCCGGCCCCATTTACCTGAGATACGACTCCCTGTGGCATCTTCAGAAGACGCAGTGCAAACTGACCAAGCTGATTTTATTTAATTTTGGAATTTGGAGGAGTAAGAGCTCACATTATCTAAAGGAAATTTTCCAGCTGGAATGCCTATATGATTTTTCTAGATAGCTAATACCAGGCTATTCGGTGTGAAATTATATAGAATGACAGGGAATCTTTGCAAGGAACCAGAGAACCGGGCCCCGGGCAGTCTCTGGAGCTGCCCAGGGGGCTGGAGGTGGGGCCCGGCGGAGTCTGGGCGGGCGTGCCGTGCTGACCCTCTTCCTGGCTTTGTCGGGGCTGCCCCCCGAGCACGCTGGCCCTCAGCCGCTCGCTCCATCACTTCCGTCTCCCTAGCGGTGTCGCATACTTGTGCAGCTGCCTGGCTCCTCTCCGGGAAGCCGCGCCTCCCGGCAGAAGTCAGTCGAGCCCAGACCTGCGCCCTGGGGCTGAGCGGTGTGGGCCTCTCCTGCCTGCCTCCCGCTTGTCTTGCTTTCCCTCCTCCACCCGGAACTTCGGGGGGTGGTGTGGCTCCGGGCCCCCTCCTGCCGAGATGAGGCTGGGAGTGAAGAGAAACTGGAACAGAACCAAAGCAAGTGGCGCCACAGGGAGCTCAGTCTGGACCTGACTCTGACTCCGAGGAAAACTTGGCTCTGACACAGAGGCTGGTCTGGAATCCTGGCATCGTGTCCGAGGCGGGAGAGTCCGCAGCCAGCTCTCCCAGGCTCTGCCAGGCTCAGCGAGGCCAGCCACAGGTAGGAAGGGGCGCTGCTGCGTCTGAGTGATGGCCCTGCATGCCGGCCCTTGCCTTGAGAAGCTGTGCCTGTGGCCGCGTCACTGACCGTCTGCGTGCAGAGCTTTGTGGCCCACGTGAGAGCCTCTGGACGGGGCCATTGCCCCCCAGAAGGCCGCCAGTCCTGATATGTGCTGGTACCAGGGGGCCCAGAAGGGGACGCCCCTCCCTGCTGGTGTCTGCGCTTCCTCGGGCTGCTTCCCTTGCCTCCCCGGGACCGGGGGACGCTCCCATCTCGGGGTAGGGAGGACGTGGGGCTCTTGCTTGGTCTCCTTGAGCTCAGGGACCAAGTGATGCATCTCGGCCCTGGGCTGCCCCCGTCCCCAGGGAGGGCAGGGTGTGTCCTTGTTGTGAAAGAGCGGAGCGAAGGTTCTTGGGAACCGGGGCCGGGGACGTCGCGGGCGCGGGGTCCCTGTGCCCTGTGTCCACGCCCTGAGGGTCAAAGCAGCCCTGGGGGAGAGTGCAGCGATTCATGGAAATGCTCTCAGCACAGACGGGAGGGTCCAGGGACAGTTCCTGCAGCGCCGTCCTGGTGGAGAGCCTGGAGCTCACGGCGTGCCGCTACTCAAGGTGGGAGGGTCCTGGCGAGTCTGCTCCTGCTGTGCGTGCTCCGGGCTGCGGGGCTGCCGTCCTGGGTGGAGGGGTGGCGTCGGGGAGGCCCCGGGAGCCCGCGGGGGAGGACCTCCCAGAGACGCTGCTGTGCCGGCCCGTCTGGAGATGGCAGAAAGGAGCCAGCCTGGAGCAGGCCAGGGAAAGAAAGCAGTGCCCAGAAACAGTGCCTTTGCGGGAAAACTGAAGAAAGGGCTCTCGCGGCTGTGGTTTGAAGACAAGATGCTCGGGACGTGGCCTGAGCTCCTCCGTCCCCAGTGCGAGGTCTCTCCGCCGAGGACAGAGGGGACACAGAGCTTCTGATGATGGTTTTTTTTTTTTTTGACAGGACATCAGAGATGGTCAATACTATTGATTACAGTGAGCTTAAGAAAGCTTCAGAGGTGCTGGAGAGACAGCAAGTCACACCACATCCCCACCCCGGCAATAGCATGGGCGAGTCACAGCCCGTCTCGGGCGGGAGGGCGGCTTGTGTTTCCCTGAGGGAGCTTCTTGGGCCGTCCAGGAGCGTTCCATCCACGACCAGCCGGGACATCGGCGGCGGCCTCTCGGCCGAGGCCTGCCTCCGACAGCTAAGCACTCAGTTTCCTCCAGCGGAGACAGAAATGAGCCTCCCGCTGCTCAGGGCAGCTCTGAGGATGGCGGGGAGCATGTTTCCTGGTTCCCGGGCGGCGTCCAGGACACAGGCCCCGGGGAGAAGTGCTGAGAGGGCAGGGTGTGTCCTTGTTGTGAAAGAGCGGAGCGAAGGTTCTTGGGAACCGGGGCCGGGGACGTCGCGGGCGCGGGGTCCCTGTGCCCTGTGTCCACGCCCTGAGGGTCAAAGCAGCCCTGGGGGAGAGTGCAGCGATTCATGGAAATGCTCTCAGCACAGACGGGAGGGTCCAGGGACAGTTCCTGCAGCGCCGTCCTGGTGGAGAGCCTGGAGCTCACAGCGTGCCGCTACTCAAGGTGGGAGGGTCCTGGCGAGTCTGCTCCTGCTGTGCGTGCTCCGGGCTGCGGGGCTGCCGTCCTGGGTGGAGGGGTGGCGTCGGGGAGGCCCCGGGAGCCCGCGGGGGAGGACCTCCCAGAGACGCTGCTGTGCCGGCCCGTCTGGAGATGGCAGAAAGGAGCCAGCCTGGAGCAGGCCAGGGAAAGAAAGCAGTGCCCAGAAACAGTGCCTTTGCGGGAAAACTGAAGAAAGGGCTCTCGCGGCTGTGGTTTGAAGACAAGATGCTCGGGACGTGGCCTGAGCTCCTCCGTCCCCAGTGCGAGGTCTCTCCGCCGAGGACAGAGGGGACACAGAGCTTCTGATGATGGTTTTTTTTTTTTTTGACAGGACATCAGAGATGGTCAATACTATTGATTACAGTGAGCTTAAGAAAGCTTCAGAGGTGCTGGAGAGACAGCAAGTCACACCACATCCCCACCCCGGCAATAGCATGGGCGAGTCACAGCCCGTCTCGGGCGGGAGGGCGGCTTGTGTTTCCCTGAGGGAGCTTCTTGGGCCGTCCAGGAGCGTTCCATCCACGACCAGCCGGGACATCGGCGGCGGCCTCTCGGCCGAGGCCTGCCTCCGACAGCTAAGCACTCAGTTTCCTCCAGCGGAGACAGAAATGAGCCTCCCGCTGCTCAGGGCAGCTCTGAGGATGGCGGGGAGCATGTTTCCTGGTTCCCGGGGCGGCGTCCAGGACACAGGCCCCGGGGAGAAGTGATGTCCGTAAGCAGACGGACCTGCCTCTGGGGGGCGTCGGGGGACCCGAGGGTCACTCCTCTCCTCCCTGGAGCCCAGGGAGGGGCACGCACACCTCTTCGCGTTGTGCTTGCGGCCCTTGCGTGTTTCACAAGTTGAAGGTTGTGGTCAATCTAACAAGTCTATAGGCTCCACTGTTCCAATAGCATCTCTCACTTCATGTCTCTGTGCCATATTTTAAAAACTCGCAATATTTTAAGCTTTTCCATTATTGTTACATCTGCTATGCTGACCTGTGATCTCTGATATTGCAATTACAAAATGACTACAGCTCACTGAAGGCTCAGATGATGGTTAGAGTGTTTATAGCATTCGAGTCGGTGGCCTGGATCCACCGCATCTCTGAGGTGCCTGTGACAGGCTGGAATCTTGGCAGGATTTAGAATAAGGCTGAGGGTCTGCTCCCTGGGAGAAATTCCCCCAAGGTTTGCATGTAGGGAACACCACCTCATGTTCCTGGGAGGTGAAAGTCGCTTAGTTGTGTCCGACTCTTGGTGACCCCATGGACTGTACAATCAGTGGAATTCTCCAGGCCAGAATACTGGATTGGGTAGCCTTCTCTTCTCCAGGGGATCTTCCCAACCCAGGGATCGAACCCAGGTCTCCCGCACTGCAGGCAGATTCTTTAGCAGCTGAGCCACAAGGGACACCCTGAAAGGCCTGTTTCTGTGTGTCCTTATGGCCTCCGAGGGTCACTGGGCCTGGGCTGCCTCTGTCCTGCTCCAGTGCCCAGTCTGCCCAGGGCCTGCCACCCGGGAGCCTCCTCTCTGCCAAGGGCTCGAGCCCACTCTGACTTGTTTGCACGGAGCGCAGTTCTCTGATAAACAAGGCTGTGGAACATGCCACCCCCACAGGGCTGTGTATAGCCTGCAAGTGCGCTGAAAACCAAGTCAATTTACTTCTCAGCTCTGTGGACTAATCCTGGTACTGTTAATTCCAGCCCTAGAGAATGGCTTCAAGTCAAGCTTTAATTACATTTTATTCACAAGTTTACGCTATACTAACATACACCCTGTTCTAAAGCGTAAGTGAATGCATACACATGTTTAAATTGAATAAATTTACGTCATGCCAAAGCAAAAAGAAAAAAAGTAGAAAAACAGACAGGTGGACATGAAATGACCAGGAAATATTCACTTTTAGTTTGCAGGCATTGTTTGCTACTGGGAGTTGTGGCCTTGTGAGGACTGAGATATATTCTAACATAAAATAAAGAGTAGCATAGAATGTGCTTGATTTAGATACTTAACTCAAGCTTGATCTAATTTAATTTCATTTTCCCTAAAGCAGTGATGCTACTGCGGAGATCCCTTCTGGAGGTATTCACTCAGTTCTGCATTCACGATACAGCAGCTGGCTCTGGGCGGCCTGGTAAAACCGGGAGGATGACCTGGTGAGACTCCTCTGGGCCCTAAGGTGCGTGGCAGTGGCCCGGGGAATGCCAGGTGTGTTTGGAGACGCCCGGTTGTCAGGCATGGGGAGCTGGTGCCATGGCAATGAGTGGGTGGGCTGGCGCGGCTCCCCAGCACCCGACAGAGCACGGGGCGGTCCCAGGGCAAAGGCGGGTCAACCCCAAACATCCACAGTGCCAGGCAGACAGCCCCGGACAGAGACTGGGGTGTTTCTGTCGAGCGAGTGTGAAGAATCTGGCCCTCATTTGGTTCTCTCAGTGGGGTTTCCTAACCCCCACTTGCCCAGACCTGCGCTGTTTAAACGATGCTCCCAAATGGATGGAAAGTGGACACAGAAGCATGAGACTTGCAGCAGGACCTTCACGAGGAAAGGGCCCCCTCGGCGAGCTCTGCCCCTGAGCCAAGCCCAGTCAGCCAGCCGGGGGCGGCCCTGACCAGAGCCCCGGTAGTTGGTTACTTTGGGGGCCACACGGCGTGGCCCTACCCTGCCCCCCACGGCCCACTCTGCTGGTTGGCAGCCGACGGGCTTCGGGGTGACCCCCAGCTGTCCTGACTCCTCCTTCCCTGTTCTCTTGTTCTTCTTTGCCCTTCAGTTTCTCGTGGGGGAAACTGAAGGGCCCATCCACTGCCCAATCTATAATCTGATCTTAGAGAATGGCAAGCTGACAGCTGCGCCGTTACCTGTTTGTCTGTTAGAGGCACCTCTGCACCTGCGTGGGAGACTGTGTGTTACGAGGGTCTCTGGTCAGGCCGGCTCTTGTCCCGACCTGGCCTGCTGGTCCTGAGTGCACTCGACAAGGCACTCCTGCCTGGGCCTCAGGGTCTGCACCCTTCTTTGCGTAGACATTGTATTGAAAGGCTCTGTCTCTGCATGCCTAACACAGGGCCTGCTGTAGAATTGCTGCTGTCGTGGTTTAGTCGCCTAGTCACATCGGGCTCTTTGGGATCCCACAGGCTGCAGCCCACCAGGCTCCTCTGTTCACGGGATTCTCCAGGCAAGAACACTGGAGTGGGCTGCCGTCTCCTTCTCCAGGGGATCTTCCTGACCCAGGGATCGAACCTGGCCTCCTGCCCTGCAGGCGGACTCTACCGTGGCCACCTGGGAGGCCCCGGGTGTGGAACGGAGGCTCATAAACTGTTTAGGGGGCGCGAGCCTGCCTGGGGCCCCTGTCGTCTCGGACGACGGAATCTCCACGCTGCCCTTAAAGTCCCTGCCCCCGGGACTGGCGGGCCCGGATTTGTGAGGTCAAGCGTTTCTATGTGTTCAGCTCTGCTGATCCCTGCTTATAATAACCAAACAGCTTTGTGGCTCTAATCTCAATATTTAGGAGATCAGCTCTCAGTGGGATTAGCAAGCTTGCCTCTCAGTGGCTGTTCTCAGGGAGCTTATGATATCCTGGCTCTTCTTCTCATCCTTTGTCAATTTAGAAGGGCATGCTCCTGCATGACTTGAGAAAGGCTTCCTGCAGATGGAGCTGGTGGCACCGTTGCCATGGGGACAGGGGGGCGCCTGAGGGGCCTGTCAGCCCGAGAGCTGGTGTTCTGAGTGAGGGCGCCACTGGCTGGAGCCAGCCTGCTTTGCGGTCGAGGGTCTCTAAACCCTCAGCTCCCCGGTGGAGCCAGCTGAGCCCGTGTGAAGCCTGCGTTAGGAGGGCATGGGGGGGGGTCTTGGGCCCAAGGCACGTACCTTCGGTGGGAAGCGTAGTTGCCGGTGATGTGCCCGGAGCCGTCGCAGCCAGGCGTGGGGCACCTGCAATCACAGACACACAGTGGGGTTCACTGGAAAGGCATCAATCTCCTGAACAGGTAGCTTCCTTATTCATCTAGCTTCCGAGGCTCTTGGACGTTGAGCCTCGCCGGGTGAAGGGGTGGGGGGCGCATGGAGCTGGAGGCCCCCGGGTGCGTGGAGCAGCCCCCGCCCTGCTGCCTCGGGGCTCGGCCGGACCCCTCCTCCCTCCACGCACTGCGGCGCCCCCGGGGGCCGGGGATCTCGGGGCAGCGCTTTGGTCCCAGATATTCAGCCTTCAGTCTCCCCCGCTCCACACTCCCCGCGTGCCCGCCCCAGCTGTTATTCAAGCTTGGTGGGCCAGTCACTGCTGGCGAGCCGCTGCACCATCCGCGCACGATGTGAGAAGTTTTACATGAACAGGCACACACACTGGCCTGAGACTGGTCTGTGTCTAAACTCAAAACATGTTACAAGGGCCCGGCCATGCTGACCCCTCCCAGCCGTGCCCCTGGTGGGCCTCAGGGCCTGCAGCAGGCACCCCTGTGTCCAGGGAGTTGGACTAGGGGTCTTTCAGACCCTCCGTGGGTGCTCAGGGAGCTCTGCTTTGGCACCGAAGTCTCTTGGTCCACAGGTCAAGTCAACTGAGATGATGAGAGGGGTCTGGACCCAGGCGGCCCGTGTTTAAACCTTCCCGGGAGCTCCCTGCAGTCTCTCTGCCACATCAGAACTGCGCTTGTGGCAGATGCTGGGTGTGAAGATAGCTCCCTGAGTCCTGCCTCCGAGGACCGCCTCAAATCCACCATCACGGGAACCAGCAGTCCGGCAAAGACGCTTTGGCTCCAGCTACTTCAGCTGCATTAGTACCCGCCAGGAGGGTGAGAACGAAGGACACAAGAGGAAAGCATATCTTTTCTTTTTACGAAATGTTAGCTCTCAAGAAGTAAGGATGAAATGATAACAGTGTTACTGCCCAGGAGGGACCCTGGGAGGGGGCCCTGTGCCGCCTCCGTACGCAGTGAGCATCTGAGTCCCTGGCAGGGACACGCATCACAAATATAAAGTGATCAATAAGTGTAAGTGCTTTCTAAGTGATTTCAGCTTGCTCTCCGCTCTGAAAGCCACCTGGGTATTGGATGTTGGGCCAAGGCCAGCAAATTACTTGCTTACAGACAGACTTTCTCAAGGTCAGTGAGTGTGTCAGGGCGTGTGTGATGGGCCCACACGGACCCGGGCTGAGTCCAGGGCTGCGGATGTCGTATCTTGACACTTAGATGTACTGTCTGTTGTTGATATTAGGAACTGCCTCATTCTCATCTAGTCCTGAGGAAAGGAGCACAGTTACCAACCTCAAGCATATGCTGACCCTTGGCGTGTCCTCTGAAGGACGAAAGTCTGATTTACCGCCTGTGCTGTGGGGGAAGGCAGACATGGAGGAGAAGTCGTCGATGTGTGTAAGCAGAGTCAGGGTGTAAAAACTGGAGTCGGAGGCCAAAGGATGCTGTTCTTTCATCAAAAACAACACCCGGATCAGACTGTAGACCCGACTGTCGCCAAAGTAACAGCTGTTCGTGAACTTCAAGTCTGATCACGAGACTACTCGGTCAATAACGTGAGTGACTGAATTTAACTAGCTGATTTCCCAATGGCATCTCATGTGGAGAGGCCCCCCAACCCCAGAGGGGGGAAATTTTGAAGCAATAAAATCATTCTGAGAAAAGCAATCTCCACGCACGTTTCTGTTTTGAAAATATATCAAGAAACAGAACTGTCTCCCACCAGCCAGTCATGTACACGTGGCCTTGCTTTTTGGTCAAAGAACTCCTTAAACTCTTCCTAATTTAAGATCCCAGTGCAAATTTATTTAAAATGTATTCATTTAAACATGAGTAGAAATTTTTAATGACTTTCTTTGGTAGAGGCAGGAGGAGGTCGACACACCCTGTTCAGATTTAAGTGAGGTGTCACAACCAAGACTGTACAAAGGAAAACAAGATCTTTACTAATTATAAAAAAGAGAAGAGGGTTTTGGAGTAGTTTTTGTGCATTTAAAACACTTACAAAAGCATCATTTGAAGTAAAAGACGTATTTAAAACGCTCTTTGTCACCATGAAAACAAAGAAAATGTTGACTTGGGTCATTTTCAGAGCTTTCACAGTGTCAGGAAAGAAAAAAATCATTTCTGGAGAGCGGCCTGGCTTTCTGGAAAGGTTTGTTGTTTTATTTTCAGGGTTTCAAGTTAGGTAGACGAGCGATACCTGGCCTGCTGCTCCTAANAAAAAATCATTTCTGGAGAGCGGCCTGGCTTTCTGGAAAGGTTTGTTGTTTTATTTTCAGGGTTTCAAGTTAGGTAGACGAGCGATACCTGGCCTGCTGCTCCTAAGCTGCGAGGACGTGGAGAAGCTAAGCCCTCTGTGGTCACACCCTCACCTGGGGGAAGAAGACAGGCGGGAGTGCCGGTGCCGGGCGGGCGGGGGCTGCGAATTCACACTCAGGTCACCCACCCCAGAAACAGCCCGCCCCGGTCCTCCGCAGGGCCGTGGTTTGGCATCTTCATCTTCAGGGGGTGCTTCTGAACCGCACGAGGCAGTCCGGGATGGGGACTCGTTATTCTTTCTCTAACAGCTCTGCAGAGCTCATTTTCATGGTACTGCTCAAGACTTTAAGGATTTTAAAATCTCTGAGATTTGCATACAGATTTCCTGGCTTTAATACATCCCAGAGTTTAAAAATACACCGTTTTCTGAAGTCGGTGAAAGGGGAAGCGGCCGTTCGTGTAACAGAAGGGGTCCCTGCTTCTCAGAGGATCAACTCCCGCAGCCTCCATAGCAGGCTGCTGCACAACCCACCCAGAAACTTGCTGGGCTTCTGCTGGGTGGGGCACGTCTTCTCCGTGAAGGGAGGCCGTGTGGGACCACCCACATCCCCGAGGACGGATCGGGAGGCAGCATGGCTGCACAGCTTGGCTTTGGAAACGGCAGCAGAGAGTGGCGGGAAACTCCCCGCGAGGCTGGCGCTCCGGCACCTGGGTGAGGCTACCCCAGCCTGCTGTCCTCCCTGCATCCGGCCAGTGTTCACCGACGCTCCACCAGGTCTGTTTTACCGGCGTGTGGTTAGAGATATAACTTTCTGATAAATAAAATACTAGCTTCTTCATTTTCTTTTTCTCTCCAGTCCAAAGATACCATGGGTAAAAACACTCTGAGACAGGAAATGGTGAACGTGTAATCTTAGAATCTCTGTCTATTCCCAAGGAAAATATTCATGATCCTTTGCCTTATCTGTGATCTTGAATTGCCTTGGGATTTAATTCATATCAAGAGAAAGTAATTCTGGGTAGTTCATGTTATCATTTGGCTGAAGAAATTGGTCCTGTGTAGACATTTAAGAAGGTGGATGGAAAAATCATAATCAAATCTTTAAGCCACATTTATGTTTTGCAAAATTCAGGCAAAAGTCTAAAAAAAAAGAAAAATTCAGGACCACTCACAAACTCCTGGATTTCCTGGAACTAATCTCTCAGTGGGGACAGAAGAGGTTTCTGTGGCTTTTGTGAATCTAAGGTGTAAGGCCCGAGCGCTCTGACTTCCTCTCGACCATCTGCCCCCAGAAGGGCCGCTGCAGCTCACACCGCCCGGGTCGGGAGCCCCGGCAGCGCAGGCGAGCACGCTCTGTGCCTCACGGCCTGTGTCAGGAGAAGCCTCTGATCCGCGTCACAGACGGGGCAGCGGCCGGCTCCTCACCTCGCCTCTGGTTCATCCTCCGCAGGACATGTCACCCCTGCTGTGTGATTACGAGAGAGGCACCTGGCGCAGGCGCAGCGGCAATAGCAGGGGTTTGATCTTGACTGCCGCTGTGCTGCAGTGCTTGGTTGCTTGTGTGGACATCTTTAACACATCTCTGTGTCTGGCATCCTCTTTCCTTTGTAGTTTGCTGTTGTTGCTTATCCTCTCTCTTTTGTAAAGAAAGTTGAAGGCTTGATAAGTAGTTCTGTTGAGTGAGACGTTTAAAGTAAGGCATCTGCTCGGCGACAGGAGGGCCCCATCAGTGACGGGCCCTGAGTCTGTGTGGCTGCCCACCCTGGGCTCAGGCAGGGAGCTGTCTCCTTGGGCCCTCGACGGGGGCAGCGGATGGCCAGGTAGGCGTCCAGCGCGGCCTCAGATGCCTGTTCTCCGGGATGAAGGCCACCGGACGTGATGTGGTTGAGGACCCAGAGCCGGCCAGCCTCTCTGCCGCCCCTGGGCAGGGGAGCCACGCGGTGTGGCCGGTCTGCCCAGCGTCTGCTGTGCCAGCTCCCTGGGGCCGGCCCGCAGGGACAGCGTTCTCAGGACACTCAGGTCTCTCATCTTGGTAAAACCGGTTACTTATTTTTAAAAACCTTATAAGTAAAGGCTAAAGCCCTGCCTGCAGGTCTGACCTGTCCTTGGGCCTCACCTGGCCTGTGAGCCGCCCTGCGAGGCTGACCTGCAAATAGGCCGCATCTCTGACGGCGGCAGCAAAGCAGGCAGAGAAACGCTCACTGGACCCACAGGATGACAGTGTCACAGGCCAGACTCAGGTCCCGGGAGAGTTTTGAAGAATTTCGTGGCGTGCTTCTGTAACCGCCCTTTTTATTAAAAAAATTAATTTATTTATTTTAATTGGAGGTTAATTACTTCACAATATTGCAGTGGTTTTTGCCATACACTGACATGAATCAGCCATGGGTGTACATGTGTCCCCCATTGTAAAAGCACTTTTTTGTCCCTTTCTTTCACACCTATCCTACCAGGGGCATTTGTTAAGTAAAACACGAAATACTCTCAGTTTTAAATACTCTCAATTTTAAATGAAATCACAAAAATGCAAAATTAGGCCTCATCTATAATAGTAAAATATATTTGTAATTGGAATGATTGAGGTCAACTCTGTAAAAGATATGTCCCATGTATATGAAAAGTTCAACTCAAAAACATGTATAAGAGAACTCAAAAACATTTTTTTTTGGACTTAAAGAGATGTGGTTCTAAAAATGTATGTCTTT